ACTGTATGCCGACACCATGCTATTTTAGGATTAGAGGAGCTATCTTTTCTCCGTATATTGTACAATGAGCATTAAATTCTTGAACTTTGACCCCCCATGTTTGTGAATAATTGTGACCAAGTAATAATCTTTCATCATCATGGAACTCAATGTTAAATTTGTAATTTATTCCAAGACTAGTTATTACTTCTGTTTTAAAAAATTTTCAGAAAAATGAACAGTTTAATAAATAAATATACTATGCAATGGCTTAAAGCACTGAAAAAATCATTTGATTTAATCCAAACAAAAAAATAAACAAAACAGTAACATAACTTATGACAAACACCATGCGAACAAGCGAGTGCAGTGATCATTTTAGCATTACACCTGCTCTAACATCCATTTTGTGCAGGCATCAACTCCAGTTTACAGTAGTATGTAATCTTCCATTCCCAAAAGGTTAAAACTTTTTGTAAAAGGTGAAGTTTTGGTGCATAAATTTTTGCTAAAGAATGTTTGAGTTCTTGAACATTGAGGGTGTAGCATAGCTGTTTTAGTGTCACGACTAATTTGTTCTTACAAAAGTAAAATGTTTTATAAAATTGTTATATTAAAAAGAAAATTAAAAAGATGCAAATCTGTGGAAGAGCAGCTGCCCTTCCTGTGAGCACCCTTGGTAGACACCAATGTGTTTTCAATTGAGCACGGAAATTAAAATATATTTTTTTATAACGTTAAGTAGTAATAATTTAAAGAAATGCTATCAAAGCAATTATAAATGTTTCGTTAAATAATAATTTAAAATTCTTATAATTAAAATTTTTAGAATTATTCTCATATTAATTATTAAAAAATTATCTTAATTTTTGATTCACAAATACTATGGTAATAATTATCTGAAGACAAATATAGGATTATAATAAAATACAATTCCAAGTATTTTTCTCAGAAAGAAAAATTATTAACCTTTAACACTTAAGAGCTGTTTCATAAAGGATTGCCAAGGTGTGGTCCTGATAACATATATTGATATAAGCCATTATCTGGACTTATACTCGTTGACTGATAGATATGCATATTTTGAGTGAACTTGGGTTTACTAAAAGCATTGCTTTTAAATTCAAATTCAAACCACTATTTTTATGTTGGAGGACATTCCTTAATAAATATCCTGAAATCTGATGAAAAATATAAAATGATTTATTTAAACAATTTTATCTATCTTATATATATAAAACTCAAAATGAATAAGTAGGCTTGCCATAAATTGTCATCATAAAATATTGGACATGACCAAATGAGTGTGTGTAGAATAAATAAAATTAGCCAAAAACAGCCCATACATATTCTCAAAGTAAAACAGATTATGTTGCTGTACTTGGATATCAACCTTTCCTTTGTTTAGAAACATTAATCTCTAGTTTCTTTTAATTTAATTGCTATCGCTGGTCTTCTAAACCAGCGATAGAAGCTAAAAGTGTAGTTCATTTGGTACTCAGGAGTAGGATTATAATTACTGGATTCCTAAACATTTAGTGATCTAAAACAGCCATATTGTATGGCAAATATTAATAATTATTATTCTTATCCTTATTCATATATGTAGTAGTATTTATCCAATTTAAAAGTTAAATATTTTTTGTAATGTAAACTGAGTTATTTCATTTCCTACTTTTAAGTTTATAATTTATCCAATTTATTTTTCTACTTATATACATAAATTAAAATACAAATCTTTTTACAAGATTTGACATGTACGATAAACTGAAGAAATACAACTTTTAGGTATTTCTATTCTTTCAAAAGAAAATAAATAAACCTATCAACAGTAGTGTTTGGATAGGCTTGCAGGTACGGTACTTGATATTCCGACTTTCCTTCTACAGTTCTTTCATTTGATTGTCTTTGTACTTGTTGGTGTTTATCTTGTGTTACTATTGCACTTGTGGTACACACCTGGGAATTCGGGGAACTATCAAATATTTCAGTACAGATTTTCACATTTATGGGAAAAGACAAAAATTATACAAATTTGATTGTAGATGCAACCTCCTTATAGAACAAAGATGAAAATTTCAACATATATTCTCACCGAAATTCCACATGACAAAAATTTTTATCAGACAATATGAATTATACCTTAAACTGAAGATAAATAATGAATTATCTTAAAATACTAAGTATTATTAATCAAGTAAACTTGCAATCTGCAAGTCTTTCAGAAATATTCAATAAAAATTCTCACTCTGTCATCAAGTGATATCCTTCAAAAATAAAACATCAATGTTGAATAAATTTCCTAAAATTATCACACTTAAATTATATATATATATATATATATATTTTTACTTTAATTTATATTGTATTTAATGTATAACAACGTATTTTTAATTTTATGTAATTGTCGTCTTTGTTTTTATGTTTGTTAATTTTGGAGTAGCTTTCNAATATATATATATATATATTTTTACATATTGCATATGAATACTTCAACCAATACTCAGTTCTGATAACGTTTGGAATTTCTTATATATATAATACTCTTTCTTTATTGACACAAGTGTCCAAGAATCTCTCTATAAAGGCAACATTCATGGTTTGTCATGGAATGGAATGAAGTTCAAAAAGCATGATTAGATTATAAATTATTATACATAGTAGTCATTATCAGAGAAGTAACAGCTTTATGTAATAGAAAATGAATATCATCATCATTTTTTAAATAAAATTTAGTTGGATAATGAGATAAAATTCACCAATTATATATAATAATATATAAAACATGAAAGAATGTTTATAGTTGTGTTTCAAAAGCAAATAACTTACTAAATTCAAAAAACTTTTACTCTTTTTATAAACTTAATGTTACTTCTTAATATAAAATTAAGAATATAATTTGAATCAATTTTGAAAAATAATCTTACATAAATTTTTAAGATCACCAGCATTTTTACAGATCATTCTTCTAACAGCTATTTTCAATGATATATATTTTAAACCAAAAATATCACATTATTGAAAATAAATTTTAAAGTCAGCCTTTGGAAAAATCATTCACAATTGTAAGTGATCACAATTACATTTTTCATTAATTCTCATTATCTCAAAAGCACTAGTATTAAAAAATATCAAATAATTATAAATAATATATCACCATCCTGATAAAATTATACAAAATAATTATATACTTATATTCAATTGACTTTTATATATATATATATATATTAACAACCAGAATTTATGAGCTTTTAAATACAATTTACTTTTAGTGCTAAATTTAGTAATCCAGAATGGATACACTTCCAGGTTGTAATTAATAAATAAATAAAATTTAGAAATAGCTTGAAAACTGACCCAAAGCCAGACTTGAAAATTGTAGCTGTTATAGGTTTGACCTCTATTGGAATATCTTTTCTTTAAGAGATTTCTGAAGTACTTAATAATGAATTAAGTACTTTTAAGTTAAATTTTGTAATAAATAAAATGGCAGCATTACTTAATGTTGATTGATCTGACTATAAAAATATTTATCAAATATTTAATTATTTTAAAATTCCAATCTAAACTTTTTAAAATAAAATTTTATATCATTTAATTATACTGGATGATCGAACAAAAGTAGAATAGTGGCAGCATTGCAAAGCAAGCTTTGTGACGCTGCCAACCGGTGGTGCTTCTTGCACCATTGGCTCGTACTATTGCCAAGTCTGCCTTGCAATGCTGTCAACTTCTCACAAGTTCTACTTTGGTTTGGTCATCCTATATATTAAATACAATTTAAAATAAAACTGTGCCTTGATTTTTATCAATTATTAAAGCAAGATATAAATTGATAAATTATTTTCTAAGTACTGTAAGATAGTATAATAAAAACAATCAACTTTTATATTTCATTTTTATTAATTAACATAAAAAATTATGATTTACACTATGTTCCACAATAAAATGGAAATAATTTCTTAATTTATAGTAAAGCTCTATTTCATCTTGAAGGTGAAATCATAAATATGTATTATTTAATCAGTACATTTGATCTGGTAATGATAATAAAAGACAAATTTAAGATGGTGAAGAAAACATTCCTAGATTTATTCAAACTGAGACATAGATGTTTACAGTATTTACAATGTATTTCCTGTACCAATCAGTGTGTACAGACATGATGTGAGAATAGTGTTTCTCACACGGGTGTAAAGACATGACAATCTAACATTCATCTTCTGTAGACAAATCATGATTTGAGACAATGAACCACTTAACCATGTTTAACCATAGCATTCATTGTTATGTGAATGCAAAATTTTTCAATACTCATCACTTGCCTTGATACCTTCAATCATTACAGTTGCATATTCCTACTTCCATGACATACCAAATCAGTACGAGTAAGGTATTCGCTCTGGTCACATTTACATCAAAAAAGCAACAAAAACAATAATAATAATAATAATAATAATAATATAATAATAATAATACTTGCTCTTATCAGAGCATGTTCCTCTGGCCAATGTTCGTTCTCTTTATGACATTTTATTTAAGTGAGGGGGCTTTTGACATTAACCTTATATACCCCTGGAATGTTGACAACAGTAAAGAAATTGTAATTCCACTATAACTACGAATAAATACATTACTATATAGTGAGGATTTCTAGTTACACACTTGCCAACTTTTTATCCTCGTGTTATCACAATATGCCACTTGACCCCAAGTTGGACTTGAAGACCACTTGACCCCAAGTTGGACTTGAAGAAAAAGTAGGCATGTCATGCAAGTAAGAAAAATGTAGGATTTAGTCTGTAATTTTTACTCCAAAGATACAATGTGAATGAATTCACAAGCATGACACAATGTTACTACAAGAGTTATTGTGGCAAACCAGAATTGATTAAATTTACTAGAGGTGTAGGCAAAAAAGCATTATCATTCAGAAATATCTACACAACAGTGAAATGGGAAATGGATAATTTGGGGTCTAGCACTTTTTATACTGAAGGAAATGAGGAAATGGTCAAATCTGAACTATACAAAAATTTAATTTTAACACATATTTAAGAATATACAAGTGCATTTCCGTAAAAAAACTTCTGCACAAAGTCCATCTGTTATGTATGTCCACATGCAGGATATAAAATTTACTGTAATAAAACATCTTGTACCAAATCTGCATCAATTAGTTCTTTCAAAATAACTTTTCCCAAATATTGATGCCTCTGCACAAGTTGACAGCTTATTGAATGTTTCATTTAATTTTTACAAGTTCTCCACGAACTTATTGAGCTGCTCTTGCGGTGTTAAACGTATCTCAGTATCGTCTCGCGAGAGTCCCATGTCGGGATTTTGTAACTGGCTGGCTATACTGGGATGCGCGGATGTTGTACTGGACAGTTGAGGAAGCATCATATTAGATGTCAATTGATCAGTTCCTCCTAAACCAGCACCAGACAAACTAGGATGTGGAGAATGAGTCTGTGAAGGATAATGAGGAGATTGAATTGGTTGTGGTGTTTGAGTTCTAGGTGATGGCTGTGGAGATCTAACAGTTTGAGGTAAATGGGTAGGTGGTGGTGACTGCACTTGTTGCATTAATTGTTGAGGTGATGGAACCGGTTGAGTATGAACCATCATTGCCTGTTGTGGACTCATAGGAGGGTGTGTAGGAGAAGCCATTTGTTGTTTCAACTGTTGGACTTGTGGCTGCATTAATATTTGCTGTTGGGTTTGCTGAAATTGAAACTGATTTCCTGTTTCACCTTGAAAGTTCTGTGGGTGAGGATTAAAATTTATTGGATGGGTTGCCCTTTGTCGTTGACTATACAAAGGAGCCTGTGGTGGAGGAAACTGACTTTGTTGTTGTTGCTGCTGCTGCTGCCTCTGTTGCATGACCATTAATTGCTGTTTTTGATACCACTGTTGTTGTTGTTGTGTTAGTTGATTTGTAGGACCAGCTTGAGGTGGTGGAGTTGACACAAGGTTTCCCTGGCCAGTTACCATCATCTGCTGCTGTTGTTGTTGAGTTGGTTGTTGTGCTGTCCTCTGCTTTAGAAATGCTGCCATTAAATGAGGATTGCTTTTTAAGATATGTAAAACTTGTTGCTGCTGTTGCGGAGAATTTGGAGATTTTAATGTCTGTAACAATTGATGTAATGCTTGATTTGGACGTTGTCCACCAGGATTTGTACCTGGGCCAGGTGCTGTCTGAGGAGGACCCATATGTGCACTAGGACCACCTAACGAATTAGGTATTCCTGCAGATGGCCCCATTAATTGAACTGGTTGTCGAAGACCCAACTGTGGTTGTGATTGTGGGTTCTGAGACATGCTCGACTGGTTATAACCAGAATTATCCCAAGACGTAATTCCTCCCATGTTTTGCATCATTTGATTTCCAACATTAGGTATTACTTGGCCCATTGGCTTTTGCATCTGATGTTGTATCTGAGGAATCTGCATCATTCCTGGACCAGTAGGACCAGGATTTACCATGGCATTTCCTTTTCCATATCCACCAATATGAGGTGCCTGTTGCCTTGCAGCAGCAGCTTGTACTTGTTGCACAGCTTGTAAAGCACCAGCTGGTGGACCACTTGTTGTAGGTTTAACACCAATACCTGGTTGTGGTGGTAAAGGAGATACATGATGCTGAGGACTTGGAGATGCTTGGGTTGGAGTTGTGGGTCCACCTGGACTTGTTTGTGGTATCTGATTAGGGAGACCACCTCTGTTTTGCATGGTTGCCATACTTGCAATACGTCTTTTCAAAATCTGAGCTTGTTGTAATCTCTGCTGAAGTTGCTGTTGTCGTAATTTATGTTTAATATTCAGACAGAAGGGAACTGGACATTTTGCTTCCTGCAATTAAAAAAAATATTAACAACATTAACATAATGCAGAATTCTTTATGGAAATAATTTCTTAATTTATAGTAAAGCTCTATTTCATCTTGAAGGTGAAATCATAAATATGTATTATTTAATCAGTACATTTGATCTGGTAAAAATTTTCTGATGAAAATGGATTTACTATAATGTTAAATGATAATAAAAGACAAATTTAAGATGGTGAAGAAAACATTCCTAGATTTATTCAAACTGAGACATAGATGTTTACAGTATTTACAATGTATTTCCTGTACCAATCAGTGTGTACAGACATGATGTGAGAATAGTGTTTCTCACACGGGTGTAAAGACATGACAATCTAACATTCATCTTCTGTAGACAAATCATGATTTGAGACAATGAACCACTTAACCATGTTTAACCATAGCATTCATTGTTATGTGAATGCAAAATTTTTCAATACTCATCACTTGCCTTGATACCTTCAATCATTACAGTTGCATATTCCTACTTCCATGACATACCAAATCAGTACGAGTAAGGTATTCGCTCTGGTCACATTTACATCAAAAAAGCAACAAAAACAATAATAATAATAATAATAATATGTCCAATCCTATAGGCTGA